AACAGGAAGACTGTTGGTAAAGAAAAGAAATTCCAGCTTGAGATTTCATATCAAATACAATCCATGCTGAAGGCTGCATCAAAGTGATTAAAAGTAGCCTACAACTGAAGTGGACACAAGACCATAAGAGGCACTAAGATTAAGCTGACTTAATGCATGTAAACCAATTCGTGTAACATATCATCAACAAAAAAACAGAAATACAGTATCAATAGATAAAGCATTAGATAAGATTCAGCATTCATTTATGACAAAAATCCTACAAAAATTTTATAGGCAAACTCTAACTCAACACAATAAAGGTGATACATCACCATCCGACAAGCAAATCTAATATTGAATGGTGAAAAACTGAAAGTCTTCCCTTAAGATCAGAAGAAGACAAGGATGTCCACTATAACTATTTCACCACTTCTGTTTAACTTAGCAATAGAAATTCTGGGCAGACCTACAAGCAAACATGGGGCAGGGTGGGAGGGGAAGTGGGGGAAGGAGGAGTCTAAATGAGAAATGAAACTATTACTATTTGCAGCTGATACCCTATCATACATAGAGAAAATCCTAAAGAGTTCACTAAAAAGTTATTAGAAACAATAAATACAGCATAGTGACAGGTTACAAAATTAGTTTAAAAATCCAGAGGGTTGTTTTTTTTTTTAATACACAATGAACAAGAAGCAAAAGGAGAAAGGAAAAAACAAACCTTCATTTACAATTGCTTCAAAAGAGTTAAATAAGTCAAAACCAACCTAACAAAGGAGACCTATAAACTGAGAAATACAGGATGTAAAGGTCTTAGATAATGACATTAAGGAACAGAAAGATATTCCACGCTGATACATGGAGAAAATCATACAAACTAGAAGCATGGAAGTTCTGAGACTACCTAAAATAACATACAAATTTAACACAATCCCTACAAAAATAACAATGTTTTTCCAAAGAAACTAAACAAAAACAAACAATATTTATCTGGAACCACAAAAGCAACCCTGAGGAAAAAAGGAGATAAATGGAAGTTAACCACATTTCCTCACTTCCAACTTTATTATAAATCAATATTAAAAACAATATGGTGTTGGCACAAAAAGCTCCATGGATCAATGGAACAGAATTGAAAACCCAGAAATAAATTTACTCACATACTATCATCTAATCTCTAATAATGAAATAATAATCATAAGTTGTCTAATGACAGTTTCTTTAATAATTGCTGGTGAGAAAATTAGAAAGTCACACATAATAAAAAAGTTGGACAATTCACTAATACTACATACAAAATAAACTTCAGATTAAATATTTTGATGTAAGAGCCACAGTTAAAAATACACTAAATAAAATATTAGCAATACATTCTATAATATCAAGAATAAAAATATTTTTGGTTAATCAACTCCTGTAACAAAGGAATTAAAAAAGAAAATAAACAGCTGAAACTACTGCAAGTTAAAAGGCTTCTACAAAGTGAAATAAAATACAGGATAGCTGAACAGACAACCTAGTGAATAGGAAAAAATATTTACACAATGTATATTGCTAAGGGAATTATATACAAGATGTGTTTTAAAAACTCATGCAACGCAACAATAAAATATAACCTTATAAATCAATGGGCAGTAGATAATTCACCACTAAGTATATACAGAAGGCCAAAAGACATGAATGTTCATCACTACTTTTAATAAGAAAGATGTAGAATAAAACTACAATGTGGTACCATATCACACACATATGAATGGCACATATTAAAAATAACCATCCAACAGGAGTTAGAGATTATGCATAGGAAAAAGAACCTGTTACACTGCTGATGGTAGTGTGAACTAGTGCAACCATTATAGAAAACAATCTGGATTTACTTGAAAACTCTAAGGATGGAAATAACATACAACCCAGCAATCCTCTCTTGGGCAAATAACTATAGAATAGGAAACCATCAACAAAAAACCCTCATGTCCACAATGTTCATAGCAGCCTAAATATCCACAGAGAGATGATATGGTCAAGAAATGTGGTATATCCACAACATGGTGTACTACATAGCCATAAAGAAGGCTGATAAATGCAGCCATTATCAAGAAAGTGAAAGAAATCTGAGTCATCAAGTCAGAAAGATTAAAAAAAAATTGCTGGTTATTTATATAGCTGGCAACTCAATAATGTGCAATACTTTAGAATCTAGTAGACATCAGTAAACATCTTGAGGACTCTGAGGTTAAGAGGGAGGAGGGTAGGACAAGGACAAAGGGAGGGGAGAGATGGAGGTGGGGGGAAAGTCTTAAAAAGAAAAAAAAACAAAATAAATAAAATAAAACAAAACATCTTCCCCACCCCCACCCCCAAAAAACACCCCCAAAACTAGGAAGAAAATGACAAAAATCAATTCAATAATTTTTAAATTAATAGAAAAGTTTGGGTTTTCCTTTATGTCCTCTTTGTTAATTTTTTTCCTTATCAACTTTGATTTATAGAAAAATCATACAATCATAGTAAAATTCATTTTCAGATTTCATTACTAATTCTAGAGACCCATTCTGTAATGAGAAAACTATTCTTAGCAGCTAGTGCAGAATGTCACAAAATAAGACCACTGACAGGTCATTCTCTCTCTTAGTTTAAATCATTAACGCTATTGAAGTCTATGCCAACAAACTTGTTTTGAGGCAAGAATACACAAGTTCATTTTTTAAAGTTCAGGTCCAGAATTAAAGAGACCATGTAGTTAAATGGATTAAAGCTCAAAACTGGAAACCAGGAACATTAAGTATTAAAATCACCTCTGCCAATTACTTTCTGATCCATTATGATAATGTTCTATAACTCCTTCACCAAATAGCAAATAATTTTAAATCAGAATGTTATAATCAGTTAAACCAAAATGAAACAATTATAAATATTAGAGAAATGGATGTGGAAACACACTGGTTGATATAACATCAAAAATAAGCTTTTAAATCCTCACGAAAGTTGTAACTACTTCCTGATAATGTCTGATTTGTGTTTGTCAGAACAGAACAGAAAGTAGGGCTCATGCCCCTGGGGTAAATTTCCATAGGGTTTTTCAGGGTTGGCATTCTAAATGTGGTAAGGTTAAGGAGCAAGGCACACAGAGATCTCGCCCTTCTCCATGCTCACTCCAGCATGTGTTATTTTTAGTTTGACTATCTGGCCATCCCAGGTTTCTCCTCTTACAGGAAGTGGCCACTCAGTACGGAAAGCAGAGAGATATATTTTAGAACTCAACCACTAAGAGGAACAGTCATTACTACTGAATGAGAATCACTCAAAATCATGAAAAGGTCTGGAATCAGACCTTTTGGCAACCTTGTAGGTTGCCAATTCCTGCTTTGGGCCAATGCTTGCCAACTATTAGGCACTAGACCAGTGCAAACACATTTAATGCTCAAGTTACATACACTACAAAGCATCTCATATTCAGGGAACAATAGGAGAAGTGAGTCACTGAGTTCACGTATGGTATTTTAATTCTAGTGAAAATCTTTGAAAACTTACCTATGCACATTCTGGGTCATCTGGTGTACAGGTCCAGATGATACCTTATTATCAAGGGCCTCATTTTTTGTTTACTTATGATCATGTGAACTTTCAAGAAAAGATCAAATGACACTGAAACTTACAGTAATAATGAAGTTTTCATGATAGTGGTAGGTGAACTAAGTCATCACAGGTCACCCAAAGGCAAACTAACCCCCACCCCCAAATTCTCCTCTAGGCAGCCAACCATGTATATATATGATGCTGGGAAGAGGCACTGCAAGGGCACCATAATTAAACATAAAATCTTCACTAGTTCAGCCCTCCCTGGTGGCGCAGCAGGTATAAAGCACAGCACTAAGAAGCTAAAGCTACTTCAGCATGAGTTCAATCCCCACCCCAGAGGTGATCCACATGGCACGGCAGACCTCCCCTGACCCACCAGCTGCTCCCCTCAGCAGTGTACTTCGTCAATCAGCCTGTTCTGCTCCCCACTCTGTCTCTGGTGAATCTTCTCACCACCCCTGCACCTCTGCCCTGTACCCCAGTTCTGTATGCATAAATACATCTTTGAAAAAAATCTTCACTAGTTCACAAGCAATAAGCATCAATGTCTTAAATGACTTTCAAAGTAATGACTAAAGAGTCAAATTCCAAACTGGAGGGGACAATGCTGAGCAAAATAACTCAAAGGAAGAAAAACAAATACATGATGATTTAACTCATGCAATATAAAATAGCAAAACAAAGGAAAAGACAAAACCAAAACAAATCAAACCTGAAAAATCTGACCACAGAATCCAGGCTGCCAGCCTTGGTGGGGCCAGGCAGGAAAGGGCACTGAACCTTCAAAGTGTGGTGGATTACTGGTGTTCTGCTAGTGGGTATGGTGTGCTAACATTCATTTGGAAAGGTATGAACTATACCCTACTGGCTTAGAACAGTAGTGTAAGCCACTATCACTGAAATCAAAAATAAAGGAAAAAAATTCTAAGACTGTATTCATTACTTAAATAAGAGTACAATTTTGAAGTAATCAGTAATATTTAATTCTAAAACAAAAGTGTACAAAAGAAAGTATTAGTAGAGTTTAAAGAAACTGACACTTCATACAAGAAGTGGTATATCTGCAAAAGGTTAACTAAAGGTAAGCAATTATTTTGGGGCCCTCCCTGATGGTGCAGTGGATAAAAGCACAGCACTAAGAAGCTAAAGCCACTTCAGCATGAGTTCAATCCTCAGCCCGGAGGTGACCCACATGGTGCCGCAGACCTCTCCTGAACCGCCCGCTGCTCCCCTCAGCAGTGTACTTCCTCAGTCGGCCTTTTCTGCTCCCCGCTCTGTCTCTGGTGAATCCTCTCACTGCCCCTGCACCTCTGGCCTATATACCAGTTCTGTATGCATAAATAAACCTTTCAAAAAATTTTTTAATGGTAAGCAAGTATTTTTAGACCCATAAAATATACTGCAAGTTTTCTTGCATAACAACAAAGAACAATACTTACAGTTTGATAATATGAGGATGACGAAAGAGTTTCAGATTTTGAATTTCTCGTTTTATTTTTCCAACAACATCTAAACTGCGAATCTTCTGTCTATTTAAGATTTTAACTGCTACTTTATGGCCTGTCAATTGATGTTCTCCAACTAAAGAGAAAGAAAAGAAAAAGCTTTATGTAATAGCAACATAATTATTTGTAGATTTTTTTTCCACTGCAACCCCAAATTTCTCCACTGATATATACTACTTTCATATCAGTCATTGCATATGTTATCTTCCTTTGTTTTCTTCTACTAGTGTATGCACTCCTTGAAGAAAAACAGCACCTTAATCATCCACCTTGTATACTCAGCACTTGACACAGAGATAATCTGTAATATTATGGAAAAAAATATGGAATTCAATATTAATATAAAAAATATGATTGAATTTGGAATAGCTTTTGGATAGAAGTCACTATAATTTGTTAATCTTGTTAATTCTCCTCTTTAGTCACTGTATTATAGAAGAATAAGTGATTGCTATAATAAAAACTCAAACTAGTTTCAATATTATTTCATCAAATAATACACATATAGTCTCCTTGTTTTTGCTTTTTCCATAAAGTCTTTGTATTTTCCTTTTATTTAAAGGAGTCACTTTCACTCATGGTAAGTTTACAAAGTTCATATCTCATTTACCATTTTTAAGCTATAGTAAGCATTTATGCTTGTGCCAAATCTACATCATACCCTCCTTAAATAAGACCTTAATTATGTATCTGAATCTTCCATAAAGTATGCAGCAGTGTTTTAAACATACTACATCCTAAAGAACATGTTACATTAAGTGAAATAATAGTTCTCCCCTTTTCGTGTAACATTCACAGTACCCATTTATTACTAACAGTATCCTTACTGCTTCAGGAAAGGCAACCCTCTCACACAGGGAACAAATCTGTAAGTCCCATTACTATTTCCTTCAAGTACCGTTCTAAATTTTCACCATCACCATCATAATATCTATTTAACTTTTCACTCCTTCCAGGAGTCATATTCATCTTTTATTGTTTTGGGAGGAAGATGTCACTAGGAGCAATGTCCCTTATCTTTAAAGGCTTACTTATATATCTATATCCCTCTTTCCCCCAGAGACATCTCTTCCGGCCCCCCTTTAAGTTCAGTCTCACTGATTTGTACCAATGAATCTGTCTTTTCTACCCCTCCTTACATTGCACCTTTTTCTATTATAATAGCTCCTTCTGTTCAGCCAATCAACATCCCTTCTACACATCCCAATCTTCATTTTACTCTATCTTCCTCTAGTGACCAATACTTTCCTCATAATTTCTCAAAGCAGCTCTCCCCTTCTACCATCCTTAAGTTCTAGTTTCTGCCTCTTATCTAGTTTCTGCCTCTTATCCTCTACTAAAAGCAGAGGGTCACAAAAGATGCATTATGACTCTATGTAGATTTTTCAGTTCTCAGATAACTAATTTTTGTTGTACTGGACAACAAAACTGATTACTCCCTTTTGGGGATGGCTCTACTCTTCTTGGTTCTTCTAAATTCCATATGGTCTCCTTTATGGCCTTTACCTGTGCTTTACAGGTTAGTATCCCCAGATTTCTAACCTAGGCCTAATATAGAGACAATATAGTTATCTCATTCACCTCTCATAGTTTAAATTATCAAGTATATACCAATAAGTCTGCCCTTCTTCAAATCTATATATTTCAGGGTTAACACCACAAAACCAATACCCCCCAAAAATTTTTAAAATGGGCAGAGAAACTAAATTTTTTCAAAGAGAACAAAAGCAGATGGCCAATAGGTAAAGGAAAAAGTGATCAACATCACTGTCGTCTGAGAATGCAAATCAAAAGCACTATGAAATATCACTTGACACCTATTAGAATGCTTATTATCAAAAAGGCAAGAGATAGCAAGTGTTGGTGATGTGGAGAAAAGGGAACTCTTGTGAACTCTTGGTGAGAATTTAAATAGTTGCAGTCACTATGGTAAATAGTTTGGAAGTTTCTCTAAAAATTAAAAACAGAACTATCCTATGATACAGAATATATTCTGGGTATATATTCAAAGAATATGAAAACAGTATTCTGAAGAAAACAACTATACTTCCATGTTAATTGCAGTATTCACAAAAGCCAAGATAAGGGCACTACCTAAGTCCCCAGTAAATGAAAGCCTTAATAAAAAATAAACGGAAGGGGCCCTCCCTGGTGGCACAGCGGGTTAAAGCACTGCACTAAGAAGCTGAAACCACTTCTGCATGAGTTCGATTCCCGTCTGCCCCGGAGGTGACCACATGGCGTGGCAGACCTCTCCTGACCCGCCCGCTGCTCCTCTCAGCAGTGTACTTCCTCGATCTGCCTGTTCTGCTCCCCACTCTGTCTCTGGTGAAGTCTTTCGCCACCCCTGAGTCTCTGGCCTGTGCCCCAGTTCTGTATGCAAAAATAAATAAATCTTTAAAAAAAAATAAAAAAATAAACGGAAGTATGAATGTCAGATTACTATTTCTAAAAGTCTTGCAATAAAACAGATTTATGGCTAAAATTTTCATCTATGTTTACTAGAGTCATAAAACCTTCCAAAAAAGTAACTAAAGACATGGATTCATCAACACTTTATTCCCATTCATTTATTCAATCATTTGCTGAATACTTCTACGTGCCAGGACTGTGTTGATCAAGTTACATGAAAAGAGGTTTAACAGACTTCCAAGTTTTAGAGGGAAGAAAAACACAAATAAAGGAGCTAAAAAAAAAAAGTCTGTACATTATTATACCTGTTTGAACTTTGTGAGGGAAGTCTTGTTTCAGAACTTCGATAAGAAGATTAAAAAGTAAACACCGAGGATGAAATTTATCATGTATGTAAGTAAATATCCAATCAATACCTAATTTCACCTGAACATAGGGGACATTCACCCTGGCACAAGTACTTAATGAGTACTGACTATGCCACTTGGGTTACAAATGACAGTGTAGTTTGACCAAACTGCTAGGCCTTCCCCATGTCAATCCAACCTTGCTTTTCAGACTTAAGACTCCCAAATTATACCTGAACAAATGTCTATCCAGAATCATAGTATCTTTGTAATTACATGTGGCCATGAGACTATGTTCTGGCCAATAACATATAAACAGAAATAGTCCCAGCATTTTCTTCTTTATCCCTTCCTCCATCCTGAAGAATTCCAAGGCCACAATCTTGTCCTTCAGGGCAGGGTTAGGCAGGTGGGAGCAATAGTCTCCATTCAATTTCTTAGATCAATGAGTTTTACAAGTCCATTAGTGGTCCCTTTTGTTTTTCCTAAATTATGGCCAACTTTCATAAAATCTCTTCAAAACTATGAATTTTATGGAGAGTAGAGAATTGGGAATACCCAAACTATACCTTTTGAAATTTTATGTTTGATAAAGTGAGAGTTGTCATACTGAGCAAAACTGACTTGTATTGTTGTAGAAGCAGAACTGGGAATATCAGTAGAAATTTTTTCTCATCTGTTTCATGAAGCTTCTCTGCACCACCTTTTTCATTATAAATGCCCTCTATAATGAAACTACTGTATCTTAACTATACCCATTTTCACAGGCTGTATAATGTTGGGAGTGGCCAAGTGCAGAGATTTACTGAGGGACTGGGTAAGGGCAGTAATAAATTAGGCCTTGCATCCAAGGGTGATAAGGCGGTAATAAACTGGGCCTTGCATCCAATTAATGGGGCCTTGCATCCCAGATGGGACTAGAAGAAGGTGATAACAAACTGGGCCTTACATAAAGGGACACAGCGATGAGTCACCCCTTTGGAATCTGAGTTTAGAGTCTATATAAGAGACCCTTTCCCCCCATAGGGCTGGCAGTAGCTGCGGACCCCACTCTAGGGGCTCCGTCTCAGCTGCTGTCCAGGAGCGATAAACCCTGCTTACTGAGCCTTTCTGCCTCCCACCTTTCTTTCCTGCAGCCGGTCACAGAAGTTGGGTCAAAACATACAACACTAACACTTGATTCTCAATCCATCTTTCAACACTGTATGGAAAGGGACTGGAAGTCACATCCCTTTTGTCTTTGTCTATTACAAGGGATATGGCTTCTGGCAATAGAAAGCCATGAAAATGGGACAGAGAGTGAATCATTCAGCTATAAGATGGTAGCTATAGGATTTAAACCCAGGCAGCATGCACCATACACAAAGAGAGGAAGCTCAGTCATTTGCTAGGTTTACCCTATTATAAATGCCTGCATTAAGTAACAGGTTGAATTAGACCAACCTTAATTCCCTTTGCAACCCTAAAATTTTTCTAATAGTATCCCTAAGGATTATTCCACATTGTAAAAATGTCTCTTAACATTTTGTGGGGATGGAGTGTGGAACAGGATCAAAAACAGTGGGGGGAGGGAAATGCACTGGACTATGGTGATGGCACACGGGTGATTTG